ATCATATTTAACAAAGTACTAAATCTCTTACCAGAATTTTCTGCAGTGTATTTTGTGATGATGAATTTATTCCAGCAAAAATCTCAACAACTACTGAATAGACACTTTTAGTGACCCTCTGACCCTTTTTCTCATGCTATTCTCAAGGTAGAATGTCTCTTTCACCAACATGTTGATCCATGATAATTAGCTTGAAAACTAATAGCCGAGTCCAGGGGTTGGCAACCTTAAACACTCAAAGAGCCATTTGGATCCGTTTCTCACAGAAAAGAAAACACCAGGAGCCAAAAAACCCTTTTGACATCTAAAATGAAGATAACACTGCATATATCGTTTTTTACCTTTATGCTATGTGTAAAAAATTATAGTGTGTGGCATTTATGAAATCAATGAACTGCTACAGAAAAAAATGAAATGTAATTTCTGCAACAAAACATTTGAAACTCTGAAAAAAAAGACACTGGGTTAAAGGTCACTTTCAAACAAAATACTCAATGTCTATTTAAATTCTCCTCGTATTTATGAAATAAAAAGCCGAACTTAAATTATCCACCTGCAGCAAGTAAAAATGACATCTGGTTGTCCTGCTGATTGCAGCTGGGACTGCTGACCAGACTCCTGACCGCCTGTGAGTGCTTTAGGACGGGAGGAGCTCATGGCAGCACCGCTGCTCACTGAGGACAGTAACTGCAGAACGATACGCGTTTTAACATCAGAGTCTCCAAAACACCAGAAAGATTCACTACATTTGTCGCTAGTCGCTTTTGACAAAAAAGTCGCCAAGAGGATTTGGAAAGATGCCAGATTTAGTGAGAAAGTCACCAAGTTGGCAACACTGCTCGTGCCAGCGGGTGTTTGAGCGACAAAAAATGAAACACATTTTATTTTAATGTTACAAAATCACCATCATAATCTTCAAATTTAGAATCAGATCTTAAAAACTAAAAAACTAAATAAAACAACTCTAAATTAAATACCCGTTATGTATTTTCCAAAGCCACAAGGAGCTGCGGCAGAGGTATGAAAGAGCTGCATGTGGATCCGGAGACGCAGGTTGCCGACCCCTGGTCTAGAGGAAGGCTCTAGATAACTACTTGGATGACTCATGATAAAGCCCTTTGATATTTATGATTACATTGATTTCCATTACATATTAGACAATATGTAATAAAAATCAATGTAATAATAAAAATCAAAGGCACAGCCTTACGATAGACCAGCGATCTGTCCAGGATGTACCTTTCCTTCCCCCTAAGTCAGCTGGGATAGACTCCAGCTCTCCCACGACCCAACAGAGGATAAAGCTGTGTACAGATGATGGATGGATGGATGGAATCTCTGGCACAACTTGTGGGATGAACTTTAACATTTTAGCTTTTCAACAGCGAAGGTTGTAAAAGTAGCAAAATGATGAGTGTAGTTAATTCTATTCAAACCATAACATCTCGAGTCCAAAGTTTCAAATTGTTTGTTGTGTTTTTATTCTATTCAGCCGAATGCATTGGTGGAAAACTGTGGGCATCCAGCCACAAAAAGAGATTTACAGAAACAAAACATGCCAGAGGACATCCCTTCCAACAAACAAAAACACACTGTGTCCAGACAGAGCTGCTGTGTACAGACAAACAATGGTTTAAAGCTATCAGTCTGTATTTCAGTCTGCCCATTTGGCAAAGGTTTTACATAGAGCGATTGTGTGACAAGAAAAGCAATGTTAGGTTACTATTTCCTGTTACAATTTGTGATCGTTAAAGAGTAACTTTACATTGTGTGTGTCATTTAAACTTTTCTCAAAAAAGTGTAAGCCCTGTGCTTTTGGTGAGCATGTGTGCATGAACAGGTCCCTACCTAAAACAGACTGGTGTTAACTGTAGTTGAGAAACAAAATTATCTTATCTACTATATGACATCTATACTTTGTTAGTATACTGTATTTGTAATTGTCCAAACACTAGTGTCACTTCAGACATAATATAGTTTTGTTTTTTAATGCAGTAAAACAAATGGGACAGATGATTTTACTGTGTATGTACGTGCATGAAACAAAAATACTGAAACTAAATATTAAGTGCCACTGAATTTTGCTGTGCAAAAAAATGCCAAGATGAAGGATTCTTCCGACCCTGATTCATGTCAAAGATTTGTAAAGAAATACCTGCAGCCCTTCACTGAGGATAGTGGTTGACCAGAGAGGTGCGCCTCAGTCTTGCAAGAATAATATATCTTTTTATTTATCTTCTGTAGCAGAATAGGGAGAGATGAAGATGACTAAGTCATAATGACTAGCTGTTTTAACAAAGGCAGACTTGTGCAAAAAGTAAGGCAAGTGCATCACACCAAAAACCTTCACATATTGCCTGACATTAACAATAATCATCCAATGCCTTATATAAGGCTTTTCCTGTAAAGAAATTTCAGGTAACATTGAAGTAACAATTAAAGCATATCAATATAAACATAGCATACCAAGGGCCTAGTTAGTAAAGGAATAATGGCCAATCACTGCACCATGTTTTTAACACAAATTGTGTTAAATTGGTTGATGCTTCTTTCTTTCATTGAACAGTGCATTAAAACGTTGGCTGGGGCATGACACTACCACATTACAAGACCTGTTTCTGTAAAATAAAACCTGAGGTAGAACAGGTGCAATTCAGCCCTGGAATCTTAAACTCAGCAAATCCAGGTCATCTCCCTCTGCATGGTGTCCTCATTTGAGGTCTGCTTCCCCTTCACACAAAGCTATTTAAACACCATAAATGTTAGATCAAGAACACTATGTTTCATTGTCACTGCATGCAGAACCTTGTATCCTGATTTCTCCTGGCAGCCTCAGAGGGTGAGGGAGGGTTGGAGGGAAAGAGGTTACCTGAGGCCAAATGCTAAAACTGACTTAAACATACACATCTCTCTCCACCCACTCTCAGGAGTATGTAGGGAAATAGGCGAGTGCATGCTGACTCAACATTACTGAACCCTCTACTTCTACAGTCCTGAAACCCTGAAAGAACACATTGTGACAGCATCTTATACACGCTTGTGTAAGAATGGAGAAACATTAAATTAAATGATCGTCCTAAAGTCGTTCTGTTTTACTTTATTAATTACAATTCATTTTTCCATCACTGACTTTGACATAGGGGGGTTAGTTTTGTTTTTGTTTTTGAAAGTGGTCTTCGTACCTTCCCGTACACCACTGGTTCTAATAATTTCAGTCTCATCTGAAAATCAATGTGAAATGTGTTTCGATATAGCTAATCTAAGTGGGTTGATTGCTCTGAAAACCAATGATCTGCTGCTCTTCCTGCCCTCTTCAGAAAGAACACACTGTCTGTATCAATCAAAATGTGATTTGCAGCTGCAACTGGCAGGTCAGTTTGAGCCACATGACTATTAGTTAGTTAGAAGTTACATCCCACCTGGGTTGAACTGTCAATGGCTTGTAAAGCTGCGGGGTTAACGAGTTGTTTACAAGTTGTTGAGAAATGACAGAAGTGAACATCTTTATATCTTGATAGATTTTCTTTCACACCTCCAAGTTTATAACAAGCACAAAAACACTAACGCAAGCACAAAATGCACACACATATAATAATAATATAATAATAATAATAATAATTGCAATTTTAAAGAGCAAAAGTTACTGTCTACACCTTGCCTGTTTTGTCTGACGAACTGGGTCTCAGCATTAATGTCGATGCTACATAGACATGTCCCACATTAGGGCGGGACATGTCAAGGTGGGAGCTGTGACCAACTTCCTCAGTCCCTGTGCCACTCCCACTGTGGCACAGGTTACACACCTCACTTGCTGAACATCTACTCATGCATAGATGCTAAACACCTCACATTGCAGGCTGCAGTAGATACTGAGAGGTGGCTACAGTTCTCTCAGACAGGGGAGTGAGCAAAACTAATTTTGAAAAGAGTCAAATAGTAATATTCACATTCCTCTTGCTCTGCCTACAGAAGATTCATTTTTTACGAGCAGAGCGCATTTTTAAATGTAAATATCACAGTTGATGGTGTTCACATAATGGTGGGAAGTGAAAATCATGATTGTGAATAACATTCTTTATGTTTTGCAGCCCTATACTGTGTGAGCCATTGTAATTGAATGCATTGCATTTTTTTCTTTGTCAGTTCAGTCGGCATCTTCCTGCCTGCACCAGGCGTCATGAGTCGGGTCTGTCCCTCTCTACTGGCAATCTATTATTTCTTAAAATAACAGTAAAATAATCAGCTACTGACTGCTTTATCATTGGCACGCACAACCGTTAAATAGTTTAATAAATGGTTTTATGCACCAGGTAGAGACAGACTGACAGAGGCATGGAAGAAATAAAAGTACAACTTTCTACCACTGTGGCTACTGCAGTAGCTAACTGCACTGGTTAGAGCGACACCAACACCAAATGATCATTATGCACTTGCTGTATACCACTTGAAACTTTAACTTGCACACTCTCAAAAAACCATTCTGGTCGCAGTCTGGAGCTCTATACACAAATAAACACAGTAAACCCAGACAACACTGACACAGGGACTCTGCCATATGGCAAAAACTGCTCAGGAACAGCTTGAAGAACACAACAAAAAGCCAAAGGGGTTGATACAGTCTCCAGATATTCCAGATCTCAATCGAATGTATGTAATCATTATCTTTCAAAGGTCCTACATAACTGTATTAGGTTGTCTTTCATATATGTATTCTGATACATGATTGCCTGCTGTTGGGGTGTCATTAACTGTTTCCCACCAGAGAGAAATTCAATAGGCCTGACCTTGTGTGTTTGAGTAAGAATGAGAGAGTGCCAGTATGCTTTCTATCCCAATACCAGCTGAAAATCTGATGCCTAGCTACTGGTCAAGTGTGTGAAAATGAAGCTTTAAAAAAAAAAGAAAAGAAAAGAAAAGAAAAATCACCCAATGTGTCTGTAAACTACAGACGACTCCACATTTGAGCTGAAAAAATTAAAAATAAAAAAAAAAAATCTTACCTGAAGGCCCCTGCGTCTCAAAATACTTGAGTCATCCATGGTAATGTGAGTTTAGGTATCTTTTCCTTTTTGGTTTTTCTTCACAAGTTACAAAGTTCAGGCACTTCCTAGAAGTCTGTTCACATCGAAGAAGTTACATCATAACGTCTTTCCTTCTCCTTGCTTTGTCCATCAACTGTCAGACACTAAACAAGTGGTCCTTTATTTAGGGGACTGTACTGTTGACTCCTCTGTTAATTTTCCACATCCGTTTTCTCTTCAGTGCTTCTTCAAATGAGAACCTTAGGTCTTTGAAATTCATTCCCGTACATACTTCCTGTAAGTTGCCTCTGTTCAGCAAAAACAAATCTGTGTCAAAATACGTGAGACTCCGTATATTCAGTTAGTGCCGGACACACCCCTCCAACTCTCTCTCACAGAAGTAGTCTCTGGTCCAGTGTTTAGCTCTTATCTGTTTTCCAACTCTCAGTTTTCTTGTTATCCTTCTCCGTCTGCCTCTCACCCTTAAGGCACTAGACCAGAAGAGACTCCATTCCTTTCATTATTAATGGGCAGCTAAAAATTAATGATGACAATGGGGCCTCAGGGGGGATAAAGGGATGGAGATAGAGACTAAAGGGAGGCAAAACAAAAATGGGGAAGGCACCAGCTTGCTGCCCTCTGACTTAATGAGCTGAGCCGTGGCAAGGTCTCGATGTCGCTGCAAAATCACATGAAGGGAGCCGCCTTTCAGGACTTTCTTACAACAGGGGTGTCAGTCAGGACAGATACACACTAAGTGCATGCTGTGGTTAGTAAGGGTGAGTTCAGAGTTGAGAAAAAAAAAATCAACAAAATGCAAAACCACAAAAATCACAACACACGCTGCATACATTTAACTCTATGAGATGACTTGTTGTAAATATGCGCTATACAAATAAAACTGAACTGAATTGAATTGAATTGAATTAACTCGGCTAGACTCACTGGTAAACGGAGGGTAGACTGAAAACAAGAGGGTGTTTGTTTGCTGGCAGCAATCTACCTAGCAAGACAGCACCTTGCATCCTTCTCCATGCCAACTAGCCCAGCCAGATTCCATTTGGTCAAAGCCAACAAGAGCTTAGGGACGCCCACACACACTCATCCACACACACAGACACACTCACAACTGTCAACCCCACATGCTAACCTATCACACAGACTAGTCATCTCTTCATGTCTGCCGGCCTCTTCTGCGCTTCCTCTCGCATCATTCAGGCTTTTGTGTTGCTGCAAAAGGCTGCGGGAAGGAGAAGATCCGCCCCAGCTGAGTAATAAAAAAATAGGAGGAGTGAGGGAGGAAGGACGAGATGTTGTTTTTCTCGTTCTGAAAGAAGAGGTGAATTCTGAGGATATCCCTTCCTTTTCTCTTCTTTCTCCTGCTCTTCAAATCACTGCGTCTTCTCTGTTGTTGCCTTTCTTTGCTCTCTGTCACTGCTCACATGCTCTAACTCCTCCCCAGGTCTTTCATCACACGCTCACCCTCTCTCCACCTCTCTCTTTCCCTCTGTGCGGAGGCGGCCAATCAGGTCCAAGCAATAGACAGAGACTTTGCTCACGATGAATGGAGGGAGGAAAAGCACTCCGCCTCCCCCTCCCTCTCTTTACTGTTCCGCACTGTGTCCGTCACATCACACACACACACACACACACACAGACACACACAGACACACACACACACACACACAGACACATACACACACACACGTGTGGTTCTTTTATTATTTCATACAGATAAATTAATAATTAATGCATTAATCAGAGGCTCTGGGTGATTGCTTATTAAATATGATGAATTCAAAGACAGTCAGGACTTCTTTTATTTAATATTTAGTGTTTCCAGTGACGTGATAGTGAGCAAAAATATGCAGCCATATAAAAAAATATGTAGTCAAACATGACACCTAACCAAATGGAATTAGAAGTTATGGGCATGAACGTGCTGCTATACCAACGCCCATTTTCTGGTCTTAGACACTGAAGCTGGCTGCAGGGATTTGTGCTGATGTTTGATGATAATATTTGGCTCGTGTCAGGCTACAGCCACACAAACACAACCTCACGATTCGTATATTAGCTAAGTTTCAGGAATACCCTCTACACATACTAACAAACCTGAAAAGGTACATTACATGACCATTGACATATACCAATATGTAGGGGCCAGTGTTCACATAAAAGGGGTTGCAGAGCAACTACACGGCTAGAACAGCAATGGCATAAAGTATCATATACCACTTTATTGTTGCAAAGTGATTACGCTGAATCAGAGTTGGTAGACAAAATAGGTGATTTGAAGACATTACTCTGGTGTGATAGACTTTTAATTGTATTTTTGACCACTAGACTAAATAGTTAATGATCAATTTGATTAATTGATTCAATTTTATGAATTTAATTATTAGTTGTTAGTCGAGGAAATACTCATTTTTCTAGAAATGAATTATTTTCATCATTTTGAAGTTGATTAGATGGATGGAGGATGACAGAGAAAATAAAAAAACAGCCCATCTAAACCAGGATGTTATTTCTAACTGGTCAGCCTCCTCCACAATAAACAGAGACACACAGGGAGCAGAAAAGAGAAAAAAGGAGAGAATGAGGACAGCAAAGCAGATACAAAGATGAATGGAGGCAGAGATTTAGCTATACAGAAGAAAAAAGGCAGAGTGTCTGGTGTCCTCCTACACTCCACATAGAGCGATGTACTGATGACTCACAAAGACGAGGGTTGTTGATGAGGAGGGGTGGATGGGTTGAATAACTTTAGAAAAATACCACTAGATCTTTAACAGATGGAGCAGAGAAGCTCTCTATTAGTCCACTAGTGAATGAAAGTATATACTGTGATTGCACAGCATAAACAGAACATATTATGTGTCTTTGGACAGATCAGTCCACTCAGACGCCATGGTGATGGCGGCGCACATAGACACAGCGCCCCCTTCAGGAGACAACGAAAGCGAACGTTTTGAGTGTCTTACCTATCCCAGACGTTCTTTCCGCAAAACTTGCAGCTGGGAGACTTTTCTGGGCATCAGGTCAGTGAACAGCGCTGAAATTGCAGCAATCGGTTGTGATTGGACATGCTGCACCAATGCGGAGTCCGATCGGAGACTACGCCAGCAGTTACCCGAGAAAGAAGGAAGTGCAAACGGTACAACGTAAACAAAGGAGGAGGCAGAGAGCAAGGATCCATGCTAGGCTAAAGGCTAAACCCTCCAGACCAGCAGAACCGTCGCGCCTACTCTTCAATGTCTGCTCCCTCCACAACAAGCTGGACGAGCTATGTTTGCTGAGAGAAATCCACAATCCAAAAATGTCCAACTTCTGAAAAGTATGTTCATTTATGGGCTGCAGGGTAGCACTGCCCCCGGTGGGGGCACCGGAATCTTTCTGCGTGCAGTGTGGGTTCTCTCCGGGTTCTCCGGCTTCCTCCCACACAGTCCAAAAACATGTTGAGGTTAATTGGTGATTCTAAATTGTCCGTAGGTGTGAATGTGAGTGTGCTTGGTTGTCTGTCTCTAAGTGTAGCCCTGTGATAGACTGGTGACCTGTCCAGGGTGTCCCCTGCCTTCACCCTAAGTCAGCTGGGATAGGCTCCAGCCCCCCGCGACCCTAGTGAGGATTAGGCGGTGTAGAGATAATGGATGGATGTTCATTTTTACTCAGTACTTTTGTTAGGGCTGCTTTGCCATAAACTTCAATCAGTCTATGGCACTGCTGAGGTGTCCTTTAGGCCCAGGTTGCTTTGATAGTAGCCTTCGGCTTGTATTGACAATACCCCATATGGAGGGTTCAGGTCAGGTGAGTTGGTTGGCCAGTAAAGCACAGTAATATCATGTTCAGCAAACCATTTGCCACTGCCAAATGAATTTGGTCATTTGGTAGATTGGTATCTCAAGGGGCAATTACTTTTTCACATAAAACATGGTAGGACTGGACAGCATCTTTCCTTCAATAAATGAAATTGTGATTTAAAAAAGTGCATTTTGTGTTTTCTTGATTTATCTTTGTCTCATATTAAAATTTGTTTGATGATCTGAAATGTTTCAAGTGTGACAAATATGCAAAAAGAGAAGGGGGGGCTAATACTTTTCACAGCACTGTATATATGTGTGTCTAAAGTTTCCTCTGTTTTATCCTTCTCTAACTCTTGTTCTTTCCAGCACAAGATCCACAGGAGGATTCAAGAGGCTTGGGTTTGTGCCTGGTGGCTTTTGATGCATTGACATCTTGCCTCAGTCCATTCCTAGTGAAGCTCGCCAGAGGTCTTGAATCAACCTTTCTTGACAATCCTTTTAAGGCTACAGTCACTCCTGTTGCTTGCGCACCTTTTCCTACCACACTTTTCTCTTACAGTTTTCCATTAATGTGGTTCAATACAGCACTCTGTCAACAGCCAGCCTTTTCAGCAGTGACCTGTGGCTCCTTGTGAACGGTGTAGATGATCGTCTTCTGGACAACTGTCAAGTCAGCCGTCTTCCCCATGATTTTGGTTGCACTCAACCAGCCTGAGAGGTACATGGCATCCATACTGTCTGAACAGTAATTTACTTAAACAAAATATTTGTAATATTTTAAGATATGTTTTGTTTATTGTTTTGTATTTTCCTTTTTTGAGCTGTAGGCCATAATTATCAAAATTAAAACTGAAAAATGCTTCAAAACATTTCAATTTGTGTGTGATGAGTCTAGAATATATTAAAAATTTACACAGTTAATCAGAATCAGAATCTTTTTTTATTGACAAGTGAGCTTGCACACACAAGAAATTAGCTGTGGTGAATGAGACTAATAAATGATAACATTTAAGTTTTTGGGGGGGGGTTTGTTTACAATATTTTCATTTGTTGGGATGCACTCGTATTTCTACAATTCTACAATTTCATTTGGCAGACGCTATTTCCAGCAGCTGATTAATCCACCTTTCGTGTTCTACTGAGCATTTCAAGTAGCAGGATGGTGTATGTGGCGAGTAACAATAAAACAGGCTCTATGTTCATAGTAATCATTACTGGATGAAATGGAGCTCTGTGGCAAAAAGGGATACGATAAATCAGTCTTTAAATACACCCACACTACTTGCTAGGATAGATTGTTTTTGTTTTTTGTTTTATTTATTTATTTTTTGTTAACAACAAGAAATAGAGGATATGACTAGTCTTATTCTGTAAAAAATAACTACATGCTGTGGGAGCCACCAAGTGTGAAATTTGCTACTTGTGTAGGATATACATCAGAGAGATTCCGATAAGATGCCAATTTAGAGTTACATCTGTAAGGGGGATATGTTGTATTTTTAGCTTTTGCTCAGCAGTTTAACATAATACAGGTCCGGAACTCAATTGCTTGCAAAATGTGTATTATTGAACCACTTGTTAATGTTACTGCTACCTAAAGATAGAGAGATACTGTGAAGCACAAGATGCTCAGACACCAGAGTGTTGAGAAAAAGGATTAAAGAGTGACATGGAGGAGGGAGAGATATGTGAAACAGGACTGTGTTTTTCTCTGCATCAGACAAAACTAATCAAACCAAAACTCGTGCTTTATTTAAGATGTCTGCTGTATTGGAGGTGAACTGAAGTGGAGACCCTGTCAATAATACAGGGCTGCTCAGAGCAGTGTTTTCCTTCATTAGTTTTACCTCTTTCAGGTTTTACATTTAAACAAATTAAATAAATAAAACAAAGTGGTGTACCCAACAACCCTGTTTGATTTTAACAGGAGAAACAGCATACAGACCATGGCAGGTCTGTTTTTGGGTGACAGCATCAGGCTTGTTGATCCCTATCGAAACTAGAGATCCAGTTACTTGACCTTATGCATGTCTTTACAACAGACTAAGGATAACAACAAGGCAAGAGTGTGATTCATTGTGACAATTACTGTAAGTTTAGCACATTCAAATGGTTGTGAGGTTCAGGGTGAAAAAAGGTAAGGTACGCATAAACAGACATCCTAACCATCCCTTACGACCAGAGTTCATAACAGATATTTTTACACTGGAAAGTTATTGTTTTCCATCCACAATGATGTTCAGTGTAGCAAATTATGTAGGAATAAGTGAACCCTGGCCATACTCTCTGACCATCACAGTAAATAGGAATTTACTCTGGATATAATTTCTCTACACATGATGAACCAGAGGAAATGTAACATATTTTGTTGCTGCTCATGTGGACCAGAAAAGCAGATGGTTGCTTGAAACAATTTCTGACACGTTTCAGACTTGTGGAGCTGAGAAACACAGATATGAACCTATTACCATTAATTGCCTAGTCATTTGCAAAAACAAGCACATAAGCACAAAGTTACCAAAGTTTCCTTAAGCTGCTTCACACATATTTAGTGGGGAAACAGGCTGAATCAAGGCATTACGTGCACAATGTTTACACCAATGGGACAACAACTAGTCTGACACTCGCATGCACCACAAGCCTTGCAGTGAGTGGACAACCTGCTCCACCACTTGAGTCACAGCTGTCTCTCTAAAGTGGCTGTTACAGAAGGGGGTGGCATGAACTTGTAAAACCACTGGCATCAAAGTTTAAACCTTGGGTA